AAAGATTGTTGGCGTCGCCCTCCAAAGGACCCTCCGATGTAGGGCTTGAGACAGTGTCTTCCACTAAACCTTTCGAAGCCAACCTCTTATGCCTTACATCGGAGGGGTTTTGGCTGGGAAGTTACAAATTCGCTTCTGAAGCTACGTTTGGGTCACTATTAACCGGTCGATTTATTTAGAACGCCAGCCGAGCACGATTGATCGACTCCATTGGCTGTCCGAACCATAGACTCGTCACTCCCGAGCGCTACCGGTACGTTACACGTACAATTGTACCGGTACCTGCAACTGTCTTTGCGGAGAAACTAGCTATTAATGAGTACGCAAACAAAATCAGATGATGGAAGAGGATGAACCACTACGACTGTATTACTGAACCCCCATTTCAGTTGCTACGGTCTAATTCGGTTCGAGGGACGATGTAGCAACTGTAACGTACCAGCACGGCAGGAACCGCCATTCACTTGCCTTGTCTTTGCGGCGAAACTACACTCAAGAGGCCTGTTGTCAAGGCGTAATAGTAAACAGAAGAAAAGGTATCAAGGTATCTTTTGATCTTCATCAGATCGCTCCAGATACGACTTTTGCTCACAATTTTGCCCTCCTCCCAACCCCAAGCTCCAAGACTATCATTGTTAAAAACTCCGACAATGTTTCGCTTTGTCTCGAAAAATCGAAGTGCCATCCTGGCTGGAACAGGAGCCACTGTGATGGGTGGTTACCTTTTCTTGCGTCCCAAGCAGCATCCTGATCGCATTGTCATTGTTGGAGGCGGCACCGGAGGAATTGGCGTTGCGGCAATGCTTCGAAACGAAGATATGAAGAACGTAACTCTCATTGAGCCAAAAGATGTCCACTACTACCAGCCACTTTGGACCCTCTGTGGAGGCGGCGTCAAGAATGTCTCAGAGAGTGCAAAACCCATGAAAGATATTCTTCCCAAGGGTACCAACTGGGTCCAGAACAAAGTTGAATCATTCCAACCCACTGAGAATAAGATCACCACAGCCGACGGAAAGAAAATCGAGTATGACTATCTTGTTGTGGCAGCAGGAATCGAGACCAAATTTGACCAGGTTCCCGGTCTTCAGGAGGGTCTTGAAAGCAAAGACTCTGGTGTGGTTTCTATCTATGATTACAACTGGGCGGACAAGACTTTCAAGACCTTCCAAAGAGTCAGTGGCTCAGGCGCCTTTGGCGACAAGCAAAAGGCGAACTATCTCTTTACTTTCAGTCCAACTGTTCTGAAGTGTGCAGGTGCCCCGCAGAAAATCATGTGGTTGTTGGAAGACACTCTACGTTCTCAGGGCAAACGGGATCAGGCCAACATCACCTATTGGACCCCTGGTGGAACCATGTTCGGTGTCAAGTACTACTCGGACAAACTCAACAAGATCCGAGAAGACCGTGGTGTTGAGGCCAAATTCAAGCAGCAGCTTGTCAAGATTGACCCAGAGAACAAAGTGGCAACGTTCGAAAACGTTGACACCAAAGAAAAGGTTGAACAACCCTTTGACATGTTGCATGTAGCCCCGCACATGTACGCGCCCGCCTTTCTGCAAGGATCCCCGCTTTCTGATGCAAAGGGTTTTGTCGACGTTGACAAGCACACCATGCAGAGCACCAAGTTCTCCAATGTATTTGCACTTGGAGACTGTACCAATACTCCAAATTCGAAGACAGCTGCTGCCATCACCAGCCAAGCTCCTGTCCTTGTCCACAACCTTCGAAGGGAGATTGAAGGGAAGAAGCTCGATGGTTTCTACACTGGCTATGCCAGCTGTCCGTTGATTATAAGGTTTGTTGTGTTCCGTTCATCGCTTGATTTCGGTATTGCTTTCTTTCTGATCTCATTTGTATTCTCTTGAACAGCCGTGGGCACACCATGCTTGCAGAGTTCGGCTATGGAGGCCGACTCATGGAAACTTTCTCGCGAGAGACTGGTAAGCTTTATTCTCTTTAGATTGGCAAGCTCCTGGATCGTTTGGGCTCATCACTCACGCGGATTGCCTGTGCCATTGGCCCCTCCTTCGCCTTTTAGGCAAGTTCCCCTTGAAGTACGTCGGGACAGACGGCGACCTGCAGATGAGATTTTTTTGGATTCTTAAGGAACGCCTCTTCCCATTCGTATATTGGAAGCTGTGGACTCGTGGCATGTGGTACGGCACGAACGGTCCTATCAAGCCCGCTGTGATCAAGAAGGAGGAGGCAACCACCCAGCCAGTTCTTGGTGCAAGCAGCACGAAATAAGTTATGCCGGGAGAAGGCAAGCTTTCAGAATTTTTCTGTCATCCCAAATGCATGTTGTCGACGGTGACTGTTGAAGACCACCTTTTTCATATCTTTCCATCTACTTAATTTTTAAATCTAGTAAGAACTCCAGGAAACTCTCCAAACAAAACCACCATGCTCCTCGCTTTGGTAGATGGTACTGTGTGTGGTGCTTTGGCATGAGCATGACGATTCCATCCGAATGCTCCTCTCGAATGCAGCATGTGCTTACGAAAATTCTCCATCCCCTTCCGAAAGTCCAACCGATGTATCATGATCACCCATGGCTTGTCTCTTATCCAAAGGCATGTACTCGGCCATGATACCGCGAACCTGATTTCTCATCTGCGATTGAGTTCGTCGCCACTGAATAAATCCAGCAATGCAAAAGATGAATACCATGACACCAAGCGTCCCTGCAAAAGCCTCTGGTGTGACACCACTCTTGATCCCCGAGACACCGCCGGCGGTGCACTTTCCTTGAACGACGCAGCCATATTCGTCCAAACAGTTGGCACATTTCTTACAAACTTCAGGCTCCGTGTTGGAGGTGTATCCAGCGCACACTGCCTTGAAGACCGTGGAAAATTCGAGAGCTCCGCGAATGGCTGCCGTGTCGACGTACATGGACGGAATAATGACGACACCCGAGGCTTCTCGCTCTCCAAGTTGCGCCTCCAAGACCGAGTTCGACTCGTCTCCTTCGAGACCACCCGAGTCCAGCATACAAGCGTCGACATCCCCTTTGACCACACCGGCGTGAACGTAGACATCATTGATACAATCGTCACTCATAAAATAATCCTCCTCTTGGCAGCGGTACATGAATTCTTCCACATAGGTCCACCATTTTTCTCCCACACCATCGGCACCATAAATCTTCCAAATACAAGCCCGTCGAAGTGATTCTGTGACCACGTCGGCACCTGAGATTCCGCTGTCGAGATCGTCATCAGGGTCGGTAGCGCAATACCTCCCATTATTAGTACACAAATTGTAGCATTGATTCTCTCCATCAAATCCTTGACATCCGGCTTTGATTCCATCGTAAATGTACATGTGAGGAGTGAATTTGGCGTGTTTTCCCAGGGCAAGGGCAGCAGCTTTGAACTGATCCTGGAAGGGCCGGCTAATGGAATCCGTGGGTGTGGTGAACAAATCGTATTCAACTCGGTTGTCTTCCTTGGGGATTGCCCATGTCATTTCCATGCGGACCATTTTGTTCTGTTTGAGGACCTCTCGGATGGGATCCGCATCTTCTTTGAACATGAGAAAGGATGGAATCGAGATATCGGATCCACTACCATCATCTGCCATGATGGGTTCTTTCATTTCACAGACTTCTTCGGCATCGTCCGGCTTGCACTTGTCACCAGCACTGCAGAGACATTTGTTATCCGCAATAATCACTCCTGCTGCACCGGAACGTTGGGCATTGCGAACTTTTCTGACAAAGGTACAGTCACCACGGTCAACCATGAGGATGTAGGGAGAAGGCCAATGACCACCATCTTTGCGTTCTGGGAATCCCTTTGTGGTATCCACATTGGAATCGCACAAATCCTGATCAGCATAGTAGACGGTCTGCTGAATGCTACCTCCATAGGGGGGGACACCAAAGAGAGCTTCTCGGTGATCATAGCCCTTATCACGTGTAAGAGTTTTGGGGATCTATTGGTGTGGTTGTCGAATAGGATGCCATAAAAATACCCAATAAATCAATGGCGGAAGCAAATTTTGTCGAGTAGCGATAGAAACAAGAAAGGGGGGAATAAGATGAGAAGAGAAAAACTGGGTGATAATGGCAATAGATCAGAGGATAATGGGATAGCCAACGCTGCTCGTCGGCCGGAAGCCCACAGAAGCCTCAAATGAAATGGATAATGACCCAACGATGGGTATCCATCATTGCCCAATCGGAAACAAGACATTGGACTCACATGGACTTGGAGTCGACTTGTTACTCCACCGGCTTCACTGGACCCCACCAAGGCCGACAGAAGGGCCAAGCTCAGAATGGTCTTCATCTTAATCAGTCGCTCGTTGATGAATCGTGTGATCTTAGACTGGATATTGGAAATGGGAATTTAATGAAGCGAATCTCGCGGACGCTTTCAGTGGGTTGTCTTTTCTGTAACTGTCCAGCAAAGCTCTTGGACCAGGTCTTTTCCTCAACAAGTTCTTGTCAACGAAACGAAGCAAAGCAAAGCGGCAATCTAGCTATCTGGCCAGGTCCAAAACGGATATCTTTGGCTGGAAGGTAAAAATGATTGCGGTGGTCGTAGCTGGGTTGCTGTTTCGCTTGAAACAAAGCAGCAATGCCAGGTGCTCGGAACCAGGCAAAGATTTTTGGCTTCCAAATGTCGCGCTGCGCGCACCGTGGATTCGACTCAATCGACTAAAACAAAGCGAGAGCAGTTCTCCTCAGTGTGATCCGTGGACGGCTTGAGCAGAGCTCATCGAGGGCTCTCACATCCTACCGGTAGCTTCCACCCCCTTGTTGGGCTCTCCAAGTTTTTCTACAGTGTGATCCGTGGACGGCTTGAGCAAAGCTCACCGCGGGCTCTCACCACCTAGCTTTCATCCTCTTGTAGCTAGAGCTCACAAAAGTAAAGAGGCCTGAACCTCCAGCAAGCAAACAATCATCAAACCACAGTAAACAAAGCCAAGAACCATGGGTTGCATCATCAGTAGAGAAGCTCTAATGGCGCAGGGCGTTACCAGCACATCCCACACAATTTCCCTTGGTACACATGAAGTCTATAATTTGTTTCCTGGTGACACTGCTAACTTTTTCTGCCAGGACAATGGCTTGGAGTTGTTCCACAATGGTGAACCTGTGGATTTGAGTACTTTCTCCTATACCTGCCAAGACGAGTATACTAGTAGAGGAACCGTGGAATTGGCACTATCCTGTCAAGCTCCAAGCACCAGCTCTCCAACGAGCTCTCCAACGAGCTCTCCAACCGCGGCACCTACAGTGTACCGTGGGCTCGGTTACCAGCAATCCCACATCCGAAATTCCTCAAACCGAAACTTCTCAAAGCTTTGTTGGTCTAGCTTCTGTCCCTCCCAACAATGATTGCTCCAATGCTGCAAGCATCGATATAGGAAACGTTCCAACCAACATCCGAGGGACAACAGTTCGCGCCGCCTCTGACACCAGTATCTTTGGATTGGCTGCAGATACGGATGGCCCCACTGTGTGGTACAGCTTTGAGGGTACCGGTGAAATGATCAAGTTTCGTTTGGACTGTGGTGATGAACCATGGAATAGCCTGGTGCGTGTTGTTGGAGCCACCAGCTGTGATAGCTATGTTGGCCCCTACGTTGGCATGGAAAATATGTGCTTTGAGGGAGAGGAGGTGCGTGGCCTGGCCACCGAGCTTGGAAAGACCTACTTCATCCTCGTCGAAGGCGGCGACGGTCCCACTTTGGACGGCAGTCACCTGCCCCCAGCAAGGGATTTCCAGCTGATTATTGAGCCTGACATGGTGTAGGCTGTTCCAAGACTCAAAGCAAGGTATCAGTAGCTCGAAAGTAAATCCAACAAGGAAGAAGCATATGTGTCCATGTAGACGAACCACAAAATATCTACGGAATGTGTAGCTAGCTTATTCGTTCTTTCATTGATTGTTCACCCATCTGTCTACATGCTGCCTGCAAAGTTCGCGTGATCCTTTGTCGAACCGGCCACAGCTTCACTGGATCTCTTGCGACTCTGAGTTATGGGCCATTTGCTGGTCACTTTGATTCGATTGGAAAAGAACTCGATTGCAGCATCGCCTGTAATGTCCATGTCACCGTATTTGCTCTTGGTGCCGTACAACCCACCAAAGCTGAAGGGTTCTCGTGGCACGGGGATGCCAATGTTGACTCCGAGCATTGCCGCTCGGAAACGTTCCAAAAACCATTCCGCATTCCCCCCATTTGTTGTGTAAATGCAGGCCGCATTTCCAAAGGGATTGGCATTTTCGATGGCAATGGCTTCTTCCCAGGAACTCACCGAGTAGACAGAAAGGACGGGACCAAAGACTTCCTCCTTCATGGTTTTGTCAGATGATTGCTTGTGTTTGATAATCGTTGGGCCGATCCAGTTTCCTTTGCAGCCCTCCTTCTTGTTCCAGGGCCTTCCATCCAAGATGATTTCAGCGCCACATTTTTCGGCGTCAGTAACGTAACCAATAATCTTTTTGTATGATGCTTCGTCAATGACTGGACCCATCTGACCAGGTTTGCTTCCTGGCTCAATTTTGGAGGCCAACTCGACGACCTTGGCCAAAAGTCCCTCCTGGACTTCACCACCCACCAAGAGCAAGACCGACGCAGCCATGCAACGTTGTCCGGCACATCCGGCAAAACTGACACAAATATCCGAGGCTGCGCTGGATGGTTCACAATCTTCCAAGGCAATCAAATGGTTCTTGGCCCCTCCTAAGGACGTACACCGTTTGTGCAATTTGCGACATCGTGTGCTGACAATTTCTGCCACGGGACTGGATCCGACAAAGGTGACGGCTTTGACATCGGGATGATCAATCAATGCTTCGACCGATTCCTTGACTCCATTGACCAAGTTGAACACACCCGCGGGGAATCCAGCCTCTTGTGCCAATTCGGCGACGCGACGCAATGTCATGGGGACCTTTTCGGAAGGTTTGCAAATTACCGTGTTTCCCATTACCAATGCAATAGGCAGAGTCCACATGGGAACCATTACTATGCAACGGAATTAGTGAGTAAAACAAATGATAAGGTCCCCACACAGCTTGCCCACATTTCAAACAAGCAAAAAACTCACGAGGAAAATTGAACGGCACAATGCTTGCCACAACCCCCAAGGGCAGACGCCTGTCTTCACAGGTTACTTGACTAGAAACCCTCAGAGTCTTTCCCTCGGCTAGCTGAGGCAAGGAACAAGCATATTCCACTGTCTCGTTCGCCTTGGCCACTAAAAAAGAAATATCAACAAAGATAGAATTCTGTCAGTCGTAGCCGGTTGGCAATATTTTTCACAAATCTTCCTTATCCACTCCTACCTTCCGCCATGGCTTCAGTAAAATTTTTGCCGTTCTCCAACACAATCATACGTGCCAAATCTTCGGCTTCTCGCTGGATAATGGAGTGGAATTTCATCATGATGGCCGCCCGTGCCTTGATGGTCATTTTCGACCAAGCAGGAAGAGCCTTCTTGGCTGCCTCGACGGCAATATCCACATCCTTGGCAGTCGAGATTCCACACTTGGCAATGACCTTGCCGGGGACAGACGGGTCCACAACGTCCAAATAGTTGGCACCTGGAGCGACGAAACTGCCGCCAATGTAGTTATCAATAGTGATGACTCCGTTCGACATGGCTTTGCTCTTTTTGGTTCCTTTGCGTCTTTTTGGACAGATTATTATTTCGAATGCTTCTTTGACTGATTTGAGAATTCTGCTGTGTTCAGGGATCTCTGCCTGATTTGAGAATTCTGTTGTGTTTGAGGGTATCTTTCGGTTCTTTCCTGCTTGATGTGGATTGTTTGTATGTCACGACCATCATCACCGAAAGAAAAGATGCAAGAGGTGTGACGTTGCGTGAGGGGCCGAACCTCCGCAAGCTCTCAATACCGGATGATAATACTTCTCACATTCAAAGCTTTATCAGTCTGCCATCGGACTTATGCAAACGGAACCCAGTACTCAGTGATCGTACCAGGGGACCCATCTCCGCACTCCGCACAATGTGAACCAACAGAGAACCGGCATGGTTCAGGTTTCAGGCAAGATAAAGACAAGCCCTGGCTACGGTGCCGATAGCTCAGGAACAGTCGAGATAAGGCGGCTGTGCGTTGACACGAAACCCTTCCTGGTTCTACAGAGCCGCTAAATGATGGATTGTGGACGACATTGGGACCCCGAAGATTGCCATCAAGGCGATACCTTCGCAAATCGAACATCAACTAGCTAGCTAGAGTATTCGTCGTATCCTTTTGTTGTGATAAAGTTCATTTCGGTAAAGTTCATTCTAACATTACGAACATGTTATTTACACGATCACTGAGAGTAGTTGCTGGGATCGGGAGATGGTTTTGTGAAAGCTTTAGCCATGGCTATGGGAAGCTTTCCTCCTCTCATCATCAGCAAATACTTGGGTTCTCTGGTGATCTCTATTCCATTCTTGCAGACCACAGGCATAGTGGCTTGTTTTGGAGTTCAAAGAAAGCGCGTTGCCGACCTTTTGATGTATGGCAATCAATAGCTCGCTCATTGAATACTCAACCAAGACAAATCAGACAACAGACCTGATTGTACAACTGAGTCCGCAACAGTGCTTCCTGCACTGCAGATTTCATCTGTGTAGGAACTCAACACAAAGACCGCTCGAGTGTTGACAAGAAGGCCAATTGTGTCAATCAAATGCATCCATTCGTGGTATCCCCAAAAGGGATGGTGTCCTCCAACTTGGCTAGCGTAGAGGTAGAATCCCAATGCATACAGAAGAGTACAGCCCACCAGACAGTAGAAGAACTCACTGTCATCCACATGTAGTCCATAGAACCAAATGACGGATGCAAACGCAACACCACAGCTTGCAAAGGCAACGGCACCAAGTCCAAAAAGGACACCAAAAAATGATAGCCCCACTGGGATTCCCACTGTCAGGAGTGAGAAAAGAAAGTCAGGCTTGCATGCCTCACTTTCTAGTAGCTGGGGAGCCA